CGTTTCGATGTACAGTCACGGAATGAAAAGGTTCGTCAGTTTTCAAATTGATTCCTTCAACGAATCGCGAGCACATATTACCTTTTGAAATTATGTTACAGAATAATCTCAAATGAGAGAAAATAATCTTTAACTGTTCGTCAGTAAAGTTCAAAATTATTCAGATCAAAGTTGTTTGACGATTTATCTTGTCAAGAAGATTATTATGATTGATAAACTAAAACCTTCTTGTTGGTTCAACCTGCCATTATTATGTCTATTAAATAAAAAAAACTATTGTCAATTCGTCAATGTCATCATTGCATTGCACTGATGGGATAGCAAAATAAACAAGCAAAACCTTATTCGTCAGCAAACGTCATATTTATTTAAATGTTAGCAGCACTGTTTCTTGCATTGTTATGTTGGCAGGTTTGACTCTTTGGTGCAAGCGAAAACCGACACTAAGGTGACGAACCTTTTCATTCCGCGACTGTACAAGCAACACACCGCCAATCAGTTTGTGGTTTGGAATTTTCTACCCTGACCAATTTGCTATCAGAAAACTTCTTCGGGTATCGTAGCAGTCCTTTGCAACGGGGCGTCTTAGCTAGCTCAGTCTGACACCCCGCTGTTTAGTACTAAGTCCCAGTTCGCCTTCTGCGATGAGGGATGTGTACCTATTCAGGATGCCTACAGGGATATTCGACCAAGGAAACGCACAATCAATAACACAATGGCACTTTATATTCCAGGTTCCACAATAGTTCCTTATTCTAGTTTCACTGACTCTAAATTACTATTATTTAAACAATGAGCAAGTTATTCCACAATTACAAATCTATTATGACGAGAGGGATAGCGACGCGCCCGGTTCGCGTCCCGAAACTAGTTTACGTATCCGCGAGAGGGGCGGCGCCCTGTACGAGGTTTAGCGAGTGTTAGTTTGGATACTTATAAACTAGGGGGGTAGGACGGTTTGCTCCCAAATCGGTAACCGAGGTCAACGAAGTGGGGATTCGTGCACCAAAGGTAAAAGGCTTGGGACCTACGTGGCGAGTGGGGAGGAATTACAGGAAGGGTGGCAGCGGGATTGCTACCGCAGGTCGGTATTTAGTAAAGCATGCACTCGGTAAGGATTTGAGTGGGTATACAGGCAGCGATGGTTCGCTCGTGTCGCGGAAACCGCGCGAGCCGAAAGTCCTATCGAGCCAGGTTAGTGGGAACAGTGAGGGCAGCTATTCGCTAGGGACTCTTGCGCAATTAGCCGTGGGAAAGTTAGACGCGCGCGCGATCGTCTGGCTGTTGCGATGTCTCCCGAGCGAATGCTAGGCGCCCGCGGTCAGTGTTGTCAGCTCACAGAAAAAAAAATCCCCAGCTAAATAAAAAAAAATCTCTAGATTTCTTCATATTATTACTTAAAAAAATCTCCAAAATTCACTAACGAATTAATTTTATCAAGGGTTAAGTATTAAATAAAATCACAAGTTATTTGTTAAGAAACATAATTTTAATCGTAAGAATAATAATTATTAATCTTAGTGTCAAGTTAAAAAGCAACTTAAGTATTTAAATAACAATAAATCAAAACGTTAAATTAGAAATCAACATTAAATACTTCGTTTGGTATTTCTTCGTCATCTTGACACGGTGACGGCTCTACTGACGTAGAGGGTTGAGATGGATCAATTTTTGAGTATTTCAAATGTTTGCCAACAGCAGAGATCACATCGCTCGGGAGCTCATAGCTCAGGTTTTCTTCATTATTTTTAATTGGTTTCTTATGAAGAGAATACTATTTAAAGTGTTTACAGCCATTTTGTTTCTTAGTTTATTTTTAACAATATTCATAGCACTAAATGCTCTTTCCACTTCGGCATTTGAATGAGGAAGGGACATTGCGGATAAAGCGAGATCAGATAACTCTTAAACTGTATTAATTCCTGCAGCATTTTTATAATTTCGAACTTCAATCCAAAAGTCAATAACGTCACGTGTAGCTGTCCATTGCACAAAATTTACTCATACACTGTCTTTCCCCTGACGAAGAGTATTGTCCACGCTCAATAGACACATTTTTTACAAAATTATATAATTAGAAGGAAGTCTCTGCTGAATCTCTTTCGCTAATTTCACTGTGAAATCAATGCAGCGTTTTCTGACTACTTTAATGACATCATCGGTTAAAGAGGTCTTTTGTGCATGAGATTCAAAAAGATATCCTAAACACGGAACTGGATTTAAGTGGGCTTCTATTTTGATGGTTAAATAAATCATTGTCAGTTGTTGCAGCCGACGGCATCAATACTCTAGTGCAAACAGAATGAAGCAAAGTCATCAATGTATTTAGTAGGGCAACAGGATTTGAGTTTTCACTCTCAAAAGTCTTTACTACAATTTGTACGTCATTTAGGATGCTCCTTAAAAAGTTCATGTAAAGTAAATTTTTCTCATCGGCATTCATGGAATGAAGTTGGTCTGCTGTGAAACATTTATCTTTATGCAAAGAAAAAAGTAATTTTAGTTTTTCCCATTGAGACAGTATCCTAGTCACTGTTTCTTCAACGGAGAGCCACCGAGTATCACAAGAGCGTAATATTTTTAAAGGCTTCTCGCCACAATTTATAGTATCATATACAGTGTGAGTCACGTTAAAGTGTACATATGAAAATAGATGAAACTAGACCTATTTTTATCGACAAAAAGTGGTCAAAATGTTTTTGAGATTTTTTTTTTAATTTTTTTACAGAATTTTTTTTCTTCCAATTACTACTTAAAAGAAAACGTAATAACTAAAAACTAAGCGGTATATCCTGATAAAATAAAACCGCGGGCCGCGGTCGACGCCGTCTCTTAGGCCTCAGCCTCGAACTTAGCGGGCAGCGGGGCGGGAGCGGCGGCGGCGCTGGAGCGGGGCGGGCAACGCAGACCCGTTCTCGAAACAAGCGGGCAGCTCGCGCGGCGCTTTAGCGGCGAAGTGTTGTGTTCGGGGTTGTGTTGTCGAGATATTTGTTTTTATTCGCAAACGAATTCGCAAAACAATTTTATTTCGATTCAAATTTATTCCTAACGCTCGATTTATTGTGGGCAAAAGAAGGAGTGCGCTCTGCCCGCTCGTTGCCCGCTCCCTCGCCGCTGCCCGCTCGTTGCCCGCTGCCGCGCCGCTGTTTTCGAGAACCGGTCTATTTGATTTTACGCATAAGATCCTGCCGCCCTGCCGGTTAGTGGTAATCTAAAAACATAAGAGTACAAAGTTGTTATACAACATAATTAAACTAGATACCTACCCAACAATAATGTTGTTGAGGCCATCATTAAAAAAGTAGCAACTATCTTTTATCAAAGCACATAGTACCGACATGGTTCGTATCAGCCAAATGACGTCAACTGACCAACTGAAACCAGACCAAGTTAGTTAATGAAATAAATATATTTACCACAGTATAACCTTGTGGTTTTCTTACTGCTGGATACTTATCTAAGTATCTTTCAGTGAAATTATTGTTGGATTCGTATAATAAATAATAATAAAATCGTTTATTACCAAAATATCATTACATATTTTCACATAATAACGTTGGACTCCACACTAGGCAAGCCTGTGTCGTGGATGGAGGCCAGGAGACAGTTTTACGATGTAGTAGGTACTTAAAACTAACAACAATATTAATGTATGGATGATGTATAAAATGCGTGTTCTTATTATGTGTGTTCGTTGCCACTTTTCCTTGACTAAACTCCAAGGGTCAGATGAGTTTTCGAGCCATTGTATATCATCTTTATTTTCCACACACTCCTCTTGGTTTGTGAAAATATTTGGTATGAGCCTCGGAGAAGGATTCGACTCTAATGAATATGTGGGACTCTCCTCTCTACTACGTTTCCGATTTGTCTTTGGTAGGGCTCCCAAAATTTTTAACCGTCTTCGCTTGTTTAATACCTGGTTAACAAGTTTACCTTTAGCTTGTAGTACTGTTACGGGGTGGGTCTAGGTCTTTTTAAAAAAAGCTATAGTTATTACAATTGAAAATTTTAATAAACTAAGAAAAGAAAATAATAAAATATCCCCGAATAAATGTTACGCGCGCGGCGGTCCAAACCAAACTAATTATTAAGTAAATCTGATTGGCAAAGAAACGTAGGGCTTCTATTGTATTGACGTCAATGCAATAGAACCTCCGTGTCATAAATTTTTATATTTATATTTAGTAATGTAAATCCCGATATAACAAACCCCTATTAAGATCTCTCATCACATCTGAAGAGATGAGAGATTAAAAGAATTATTATTTTGGTTGGACTGCCGTTTGCGAACATTGTAGCGATAGAACCAGTCTTTTTTTTTTTATTATTAGACCAGAAAATATTAAAAAGATAAATGTATAAAAAAGGATTTAATGAGATTTAGGATTAATGCCGGGTGCTATTTCTACTACTAAAACTATTAACAAAAACTTAAAACTAACTTATTCTCTAACATAGGCGTGAAGTGCTGGCTGAGCTATTATGATGTTTCTCCTCATTGGAGATGGCGTCGATCTAGGTTTGATCTCGTCAGAGCCGGACGAGTCTTCCATATCTCGAATGCTCTGTGTGGTTATTAACATCGTCAGTGTCAAAAGATAACGCTAAAATTATAGACTCGAGTGAATTTAATAACGAATTGATCTGAGATTTAATCTCTAGTTTATCATTGCTGTTTGAGACGTTCTCTAAGATGTTGTGAATGACCTCCATGTTTTTCATAAGATGTTTTTCGTTTTCGTTCACTTTCGATATTGAGTTGTTAAAAGAGGAAANTTTTATTCAAAAAGGTTACATTTTTTTATATTTCTGGTAATTTCTGACAAGACCCGACTGGCAACACTGGTTCCATGAAGCTAAAGATACATCACTGTGGTGGTCATAGGTAACTTGTGTCAGTTTCATCATAATAAATAAGTAATCTGTGGTTTCATCTTGTTGCTGCTTCTTGTTGCCGGATTTATATTGTATTTTATTTTTTAAATAAATAGGTAAATATTGAAACATACGAGCAAACGTGTCTCTCTAAACGCTCGACATTAGCAAAACCAGTGTGCTTTAAATTCGCACCATTGAAGCCATTAGACAGAATAATATACAAACGACGAAACTGTTCAAACTGTGTTAGAGAACATTGCATTAAATTACGTATTATAAGTATTTATACCTACTCCTACATTGGAACTTTATTTAAATTTTTAGCATTTTTTATCTCGTAACAATACCTACTCAAAATGAGTCAAAGACGCGGCAACAGGAGTACAGCTGAAGAATCAGACGCGAACCTAGATGATGCCATCAAAGAATGCGTCCGTTTCATCGTTTGCCGAGAAGGAAGTAAAGTGCCCATCAAACGGGCTGAAATAGTCAAACACTTGAACACTACTAGCCAGACTCCGGCCAACCAAGTCAATACAGTAATAGTGGAAGCTAACAAGACTCTTAAAAGGGTAAGGTTTATCATATATCATATCATAATCATTTATTTCTTCATAAGTGTACATACATATTCATAATTAATTTGTGCATGATGTAATGAAAACAACCAAAAACCAAAAGTACTGTTTTCACTGTCTTATTTTTGTTCTAGATACGAATAGTAAACAATAGTGTTGAAAAAACATCTACAACAAATACTATTTGTGTTGAAAAAAGTACCTACTGGGCAGTAAAAATTAAATTATAATTACAGTTTACATTTATTTAAGTGGTTATCTAACTATTGTTCCAGTATTATTAAACTAGTAAAGTAACCGTCACAAAAAGTCAACACAGCATCAGTCATTATTATTGTTGTCTGTGAACACTTTATCCACAATGAATTAATATAATTATTTTTTAAATTACGTTTGAAAAATTGAAAATAGTTTACTTATCCAGGTATATGGATATAAACTGGTGCAAGTTGAGGCGAAGTCAGGCATCCAGTACATAGTGGTGCTTACCGAAGAGTGTGACTCGGTGCAGTCAAACGTCAATGACCCTCTGCAGAGGAAGCTGTTAGTTGCAGCCCTGACACACATCTACATGAGCGGAGGGCCTGTTAAAGAAGGTAATATTTAACTTTATTAATTCTTTATTGTCAAAGAACTTGTTACAAAAGTAAACTCCTCCATTGATCACTCTGTGTAAACCTTGGGCATAAATAGTACAGTTTGTATTAATACAAAAATACATTATATCAGAGGTGGAATTGTGTAAAGCAATCGTAATCATTTGACAGTTCATAACGTATGATAATGTCAATTAAACAAAGCGTTTGAGAGAATAATTGTACATTATGAACTGTCAAATGATAACAATTGCTTTACACAATTCCACCTCTGAAAATTCAATTCTTTCGTTGCATTTTCTCATTAAGAAATAAAATAATGAATTACTATTTCCAGATGACATGTGGAAGTTCCTCTCCGAGGCTGGCTTGCTGGAAGAGAATGACCACGCGGGCCGGAAGATACTAACGAATACATTCACGAAACAGATGTACCTGATATATTCTAAGGTGAGAAAGATACTTGCACTTAGTACTGAACAAGTTTTGCTTAGTTTATAGTGTCTAAGGCCCGGCTTTCACCAACCAAAGTGGAGATGTGTCGGGCGGACGAATTTTTCTATAGAATTCGACAGCGGCGGCGGCGCAGAGCGGAGACGAGAATTGGAAATAATTAAATCTGATTCAAAATACTTCTCCGCTCTGTTCTGTTCCGCTCCACATTGGTGGAAACCGGGCCCAAGGCTGAGTTGCACCACCTTCTTTTAACCGTGACTATAACTATAACCGGTGTTTTTTGTGTAATTTGAAAGACTTGAAGTTGCAACCTAGCCTAAGGATATATTTTTTAAACTTTCATGGTCACTAACAATCAATTGTAATAAAAGACTGCGAAAGAGGGTAGACCGATATCTCTGTCCGTAACATCTCACCCGCCAGTTTCCTCAGTTACTCCGTGACCATGGCTCTTGCAACAGTGCCGAAATATCGGAAACTCGAAATTAAGATACATGGTAGCAATCCCGTGAATAATAAATAATTATTAAGCCTAAGGTTGTTTATTTTATTTTAGATTGGGGACGGGGAGCTGGCTCGAAATGTGTTTGAATGGGGCCAGCGATCTCTGGAGGAAGTGCCGAAACTATTTATTCTCAACAAAATGGCTGAGGTGAGTTCGAACTATGAAGTGACTCATGAGTGCACTTTGCAAAATGAGCACTCAACTCAAAAAGCTAAATCTTTGTTTAAATAAGTTTTAATATTTTGTTATGTCATAAAATGAACATTTGGCGACTGCTTTTTGATGTCGACTACAGTGCCCCGATTAATAATATTTTTTAACCCGACGCTAATTTTTAACGTCTCCTTTTTTATTTTTCGTCTTCGTCGTCTTTTTAATTTCTTCGATTCTGCGATACGGATTTGTAAAAACAGCTGACGTCCGGGCACGTTAAAAATGAAAATTTTTAGCGTAATCGGGGCTCAGGTGCTTACCAGAAATTAAACTAGTCCACAGGAAAATTATTTTTAAGATGTATCTTCTCTTCTGTTTCAGGCTTTCGATAAGAGCCCGGACTATTGGTGCGAACAATACAAGGAGGCTACTGAAGAAGTGTCTTAGCAAACGATTTAATTAATTAATTCTCATGTATAATTACAAATAATTATTAATATAAACAAAATCCATTTAAAACTTTATTTAATTTAATTCAAAAATATGTATTACATTGTATAATCAGTCTGATTAACAGATACAATATTCCTACAAAAAGACTTAACAAACTAAAAAAAGCATGTCAAAAACACTTACCTGCAGAATCTTAAAAACACTGTCACAAACATTATTTTGTAATTTGATTTAAATCGTGCAGTTTTTCGTAGCTTCGTACTTTAAAGATTCAATCAAACCTCTCATTTCGTTATAGATTTGTCTATGTTCTTGGGTGTTCGGTAGGTCGTGTAATTCCCCGATACAGCGAAAAGTTTCTTTATACATGGTAACGAAGTTCACCGGGCTTATATGAGAAGCGGTAAACAAATACATCCACTTGTCGAACGATGATTTTTGTTGAGCGGTCATTTTGGCTTTAGGTAGGCCGACCATTCGGTGATCCCAGTTATTAACACAGACTTTGCATCGGCAGATTTTTTTATTATTCATCCACATGTGCAAGGATCGGTTTGTTATTATGTGATCATACCAGTGGCCGCTGAAAAAAATAAACAGATTACTTAGAGAGAAAATATTTTTTAACGTAGGAGGATTATGCGTCTCAAAAAGGTGTTGCATTCTAACGCCGCGGTAAATGTTGTGTTGTTTGCAATTATTGCAAAAAAATATCACAGTAGAATAATCACTACATAGTAGGAACAAAGTTGCTTTCCGCTGTCTGTCCCTATGTATGCTTAGATCTTTAAAACTACGCAACGGATTCTGACGCGGTTTTTTTAATAGATATATATGTATATGTTACGGTTAATGTGATAAATTGAAAATTATTAATAATAACCGGTTATTATGAATAATTACCGACAGTCGCGGTAAAAGTGATAAATTAATCACATTTAACAGTGATTATTTAATAATTCAACCTTAGTACTAACAAATTTCATAAAAGAGAACAACATCTTGTGTACGTGCTCGTGTACAGCCAAACTTTTGAACGTTTTGATATCATATATTAATATAATTTGGCATAATGAGTTTGGAATGTTTCTTGCATAATATTACTTTTCCATGATGCCTATAACATAATGTTTTGATTTAAAATGAAAAATAGGTTAAGGTGCGGCGGGGGTGGCCCTTGGGCCACCCCTAAGCCGCCTATTTAGTTTTATATACACATAAATGACCTCATATTAATCACATTTACCAAATCATGCGGTAATTATTCATAATAACCGGCGATTATTCATAATTTTCACATTTATCACTTTGACCGTAACATATATTTAAGCCGGGGCGGGTCGCTAGTAAGTATAGGTAATACTTATTAGAAAGGTTACTTACATGTATGATATTGTTAACTCTTCTCCCCTTTTTATTGGTCTCAATGATATAAGTGCAGCTTTATTGTTTAGTCCTGATACGTGAAGATTTGGATCACAAGAGTGTTTCAATTTACTCGTAAACGAAAATAAGCCAATATTTCCCAGAAGAGTACTCTTCTCATCCATTGCTGCTTTAGCCGTATTCGCAATAAGTATTGCGTGTCTGGTAGATTTATGTATGTGCAGTAATACTCTGCCCATTGCACGGATAGCTTCGTCTTTCTCACGAGGAAAGAATGATGGTAGTACTTCTTCTAAATGGAATATTATAACGGCAATGACATTAAGTGCATTGAAAGTATCTCCAAAAACGAACATATTATTTTCATTGTTGAATTTCAAAATCGACGCCTTGCTGTTTAAATCATAAACTTCGTTTATCATACTGTTTTCCATCTTTTTCAAACCCAAATTATGAGAAATTGCTATAAATTCGTCCCAGGAACATGAATTTTTAAATTTTAAAGCTGCCACGGTGGGTAGTGATGATCCAGTTAGTATATCATCCTCGAATAGTGAAATTATATGACATTGGACATTGTGAAACTCTTCCCAGCAAAGCTTCCTGCATTCTGGGCTGCAGAATAATATTCCTGTACAACTGTGACACGGAATTAGATTTAATGAAATATGATGACAATAGTAACATGATCTGTTTTTATTTAGGTCTCGTAAAATTCCAACGTAAGCTGCCTCTAGTGCAACTAATGTTCCCGGCGGGATGTTCTGCCGAGCAACTACTTTTGACTGTCCGCCAGTGTTGTTCTTGATACGGCAATTGCCGTAATATACGGCATTTAGGCATCCTAGGCACCATAAATACGGTATACGGCAGCTCTTCCATTACCGTATCAAAATATACGGCAATTGATTAAGGTTGAGTTTTAGTAATCAAAAATACACCGTGTTACTTTGCATTCTTGCCATATTCACAGAGATAAAAGTAGGTAACAATACCTATTATTTAAGATAAACAAGAGACTCCCATAAAGAAAGTACACTAAGATTTTAGTAAATTTGGTTTTTCAGTACAAATTGGAATAAACCAATTTCGTCTCGCACCATAGAGAAAAGTAATACATAGGAAATAGAGAACCATCTCTGTCAAATTTTTGAACCTACTAATTGACAGCCTGGTGTTAAATTCCCTGCACTTAACCTACGTACTGTTACGGGGTGGGTCTAGAAGGTCTTTTTAAAAAAACACTAAAGTTACTACACTTGAAAAATTTAATTAACTAAGAAAGTAAATGATAAAAATTCCCCGAATAAATGTTGCGCGCGCGACGGTCCAAACCCAACTAATTATCAAGTAAATTTTATTGGCAAGGAAACGTAGGGCTTCTATTGTATTGACGTCAATGCAATAGAAGCTCTGTGTCATCAATTTTTATTTTTATATTTAGTAAATGAGCCAAATTTGAAGTGTTAATGCATAGTACTTTTTGAGTGATAAGGAGTCAAAAGTGGCTCCAAGTGGTTCGTCTAAATATACGCACGGTGCAGTCCCCTCCCTGGAACTAGGCTTAACATGCTCCCGCATGTCTAGAATATTAGCTCAATGTTGATTTAGTCGATTTTCTCCTAATGGGAACATGTAAGACAAAAATAAAATTTCCAATATTACAGACCTTCTAGAGCAGATGCCGCGAAAACTATACAAGATATAGAAAAACTTGACTATCTCACCTGTAGAAAATTGAATTAGCTTTTTTTGGTTCATAGTAGTCATGTCACTAGGACGCATAGTTTCCGAGGATTAAGCGAAAAACCGAAAAGTGGTACCTTTAAACTCCCCTCTCTCCGGCGGCTCAAGGGCTAAGGGCGGGGACTTTTGCTATGTTCACCTCCTAACTAGTCTAAATAAAGTCCCGAAGTCAAAAATTGTGTTCCACGGTTTTCCATCTATAATGCTTTATTGACTGGACTAAAATAGTTGATTTTATAACATGGATATTATCTTTCATGAGGTAAGCAAATTTTTCTCATCTGACTGTACATCGTTGATTGCCTGAGAGAATTTAGCTGCATCTTCTGAGTCTAATGTACCAAAAAATTTTTTGGGAAGTGATCCGCCGAAATCAATGAGACCTCTTTTTACACGCCCTTTGGGTTTATCATCTGAGAGTAAATATGATACAGATGAGAATTTATTCACATTATCAAGATTTTGATTTTTAAGTGCAGAGAGCGAGTTAGTACATTCAGAGTTAATCTTAGATGATGCAAAAGAATAACAGTATGCAGTGATCTTCTCAAATAAAACTTCTACTGTTTATGTGACCTATATCGAGATAAGTAACTACTTCATCTATTTCATTATGAATATCTTCTAATAGAAAAGCAATTCTATCGTAGCTATGAGTTCCTCTGAATCTCCGACACGCCAACGTCTTAGATTTTCTTTGTAAATCAAGTGTAATCCAATGTGCTGTGACACCTAAAAAACTTCTTTTTTTTCCCGACCAAATGTCTGCTGTGGTACATAGATATGAAGTATCTCGGAGCAAGGTTTTTATTTCATGTATTTCTTTGTTATAATAATCTTGCATACACCATTCCCAAAGATGGTCGACTCACTAAAGTCAAACCATTTTGACACATACCTACACTTTCAAATGTTTTTGAAAGGTATGGATCTTCAATGAGGGTTTTCGCGATTGAAAAATCCGCCAGATGGCAATACGTAGACGCGAGGTCCAAATGCTGCGTGATTGGTGGATTTTGACATGTCGCATGTCCTCTAAAAGACTGTCACAACACAAAAAAGCGTGTTTCGAGAAAAAGCGGTATTAAGTTTTTTTTACTTCTTAACAATGTTATGATCACTCGGTAGATGGATTTTTTAATCGTTTTATATTAATTTTATGGACAATTTATTCAACTTACTTGAGAAAATTTTAAGTTGGAAGAAAGGTTGCAGAAATATAGATTTTTCCTTAAATTTATAAAAAATGGCCCATAATATGACACTTTTTTTGATTAGGGTGTTGCAATTTATGTAATAATACAATATATGCAAATGGAATTATTTGTTATTAGCTCTTATAATAAACTATAATGTTTATAAATCTAACAGGAACATCAAAAAGTCACATAAAAAGTTTTTCCTTAAGCTAAGGTACACATAATCAGTCATATCCATCTAAATTTAAGGTAGTATCGTAGATTTAATCTTAAATAAACATGAAATTACAAACTTTTGAAAAAAGAGGTTAACAATTTGGGATGTGGTTGCTCTCTACCAAACTCGGAAGATCCCTTTTTTATTTTCTCTAAGATTTGGTTTACATTTATAAGCTGGTTTCATTTTAATATTTCTAGCGGACAGTTGCTTTTTTGTGATTTAAACTTCCTGAAACACAGTTTGTTTATATCGTCGGTTGATTGCAAGAAGTCTTAGTAATCATTTTTAGTTACTCGCATTTTAAAATAACGTACACAGTATTTAAAAAAAATCAAAATATGAAGTTAATGTCTTTTGACTGACGGCCAACTATAACAAACCAAGAAGTAATTACTTTTTACTTTATCGGATGTTAAATCATGTTACATGTTAAATCAAGTTAAATTACGTTTAAAATAATATAATAAACAATCATAATAACGAAATATGTATAATGACCTGTCATCTTCTGGGTCACATTCTAAACAAAAAAATCAGTCTCAAACAAAAATAACACAATCAATAAATTGAAACAAAATATCTTTGTAACATTATTAATTTGGCACAAAAAGTATTTGGTATATTATTATAGCCCCTTATAAATAATACAGTGTAAGTCACTATAAAGTGTACGAAAATAGATGAAACTAGACCTATTTTTATCGACAAAAGAGGTATTTTTTTGTTTTTATTTTTTGTATTTTTTTTTCTTCAGATTACTGATTGCTAAGAAAACGTAATAACTTCTAAACTAAGAGGTATATCCCATAAAAACAGTCATAAAGCTAAATAACAGGCGATAGATTAGAGGACGTGCGATATCTGTAAATGTCATGTCAAAAATAACCAATCATGCAGCATTTGGACTTCGCGTCTACGTATTGCCATCTGGCGGATTTTTCAATCGCGAAAACCCTCATTGCTCTCAAAGGTATCATAGAGTGTATAAAGAATTTTATGATGTTCTGATTGAATTCTTCTTGAGATACTTTAGCCTATCTAGTCTGTACCTGTGTATCTGGAGCTGTTTTCTTCTTTTTTTATTAATGGCAATATACGCTTTATAGTCGTCGAATGCGCTTTCGCCGTGCTTTCTTTTCAGGTGGGTGACACAGTCGGACGTTGAAGGCAAAGTTCCGGATATTTTTACTTGTTTTGGCAAGCACAACGTACACAATCCAACTCGTTTGCGATATGAAGAATCTTCTTTAGAACATTGAAAGAACTTTCCATCAAGAATCGTTTTGATTTTCGGCATTACTTTTTTTTTTTTTTTTCAATACAGCAAACGTTGGTTTAGCAGAATGTTCGTAGAAGTTGTGAACTCAACAACCGTTGGTACACCGCGCGTGTCCTCCGCCCTCCTTGATTGGTATTTTCCGAGAATCTTCGGATTTTCGAGCTGGACGCTGGACTACACGGCCAAATAAGACTCCATCATGAGAAAATGCGTCTTCATAAGGGTCACCAAATGAATTTCTGCATAATATTTCGTATTAGAAGAGAGCAAATGAAACCATATTTTTCTTCGGTTGACGGAAAAGTCACGTTTTATTCTTTTCTTTTAAATTACTTTTTTGTGTCCTTGACACGTTTCGTTAATATTTTCCACAAACTGTTAAAACTTGAAGTTGAAGCTTCTTGGCGCAGTAACAACAAGTCTTCTGAGTCGTTCATATTGTAGTACAACTAAACGGCGCGCGCGCAGTAGTTTATCGAAGTATGTACCTACATATGAAAATAGGTGAAACTAGACCTATTTTTATCGACAAAACAGATGAATGTTGTGGTGACTGGATTGCTGGTTGTGGTGATTGAATTATGTGTTGTGACGACTGGATTGTGTGTTTTGGTAACTGAATTGTCTGTTGTGGCGATTGGATTGCTTGTTGTGACGACTGGAATGCTTGTTGTGGAAACTGAATTGGATGAGGCGGATG